ATGTTAATGCAATTTCAGGAGCAATGAGATAAAAGGATTCAACAAAGGATGAAAAAATTATGAAATTAAGTATTTTAGCTATAAAAAAAGTCCATTGTTCATAAATATAATATAATACACTGTGCTCCAGAAACGAAATGTCTACTTTAACACTACTTTGCCAACCATTTTCTTCCTTAGATTTTCTCACTTTATATTCCCCCTACTTGCCTGAGCATCTCACCCTCTTTTAATTTGCCTCCCCATTTTATTGCCCTTTCCATTACCTCCCTCTCCTGCAATACACCTTCTTCTCTTATCTACATATCCATCCCTCTTCCAGACAGTTCCCTTTCCTCTCGGCAATCTTTTTGTCCATTTGTACACTTCCTTATATCTCATATCTTGCTTCCTCTCATACACCCTGCATAAGTCCCTTTTCTTCCTACAACTTTTGCACTCTCCCCCACTTTTTCATTGCCCGCCCCCCCCAACCCCACCTCTTGCTGTAATTCATTCCCGTTCACTCTTGCATCTTCCTTCCTTGACCTTCTTTTGACCTTCAGGTAAAGGGTAAGCCTTACCCTTTACCCGACCCATTCTCTCTTCTTTCCCACATTTCCCCAGCTCCCCTATAACTCACTCCCCTTTCTTCTCTTTACTCCATCTAGTATTTTCTCCCCCACCTTCTGTCTCATTCCTTCTTTTATTTCCTGATAACATAGTGTAGCTGTAGAACTACACAAACATCTAATTGGTATTTTAGGCTCGTGGGCACTTTAATTCTCTCAAAAAAACAATTTAATTTCCTCTAAAACCATTGAGTACCCGTTTCCCAAACCACAAATCTGTGAGCACTCTGCTAAGTTCACCAACATTTCAAACACAGCCGCTGCAGCCTGTCATTAATTTCCTTTACACAGCTAATACATTTCAGCAATGTCTGCCATTATCCACATGTAACATCAATTTATCTCCTAATTGCTCTCAATTTATTGCTTATCATGCTAAACATCCCTCCAGATATTCTGCCTTCATGCTAGGTCGCAAATTACAAGTGGAACAAATGACTCCAAATAATGTTATATATTAGTTATAATTTAAGAGTGACCCTAAAAAAAATCCAATTTTCTGAGAAGGATAATGTCTCCAGTAGTATTTTTTCTCCTGATGTTGTAGTTTAGCTTTTACTGCCTGTAATAAAAATTATATTTCTGTCTATTCTTCACAATGTTCTGCTTGTATCATTATGTTTCATTTACACTTTTTACATGCTAAAATATACATTTCTGTGCCCCTTAAAAAAAAAAAAAAAGTTTACAGACTGGAACCTCAACACTTATCTTAAGCAAGGAAATAGGAGATTGTAAATCACATATCCAGAAGGCCATTTAAAAGTTTGTTTCAGTGTTGGACTGAGGTCTAACCCCAATGAAACAGCTAAATATGCAGATACAGCCTATGGGAAGTTGAGAAGCATTTTACCTGCCAACAAGTGATACACACAAAGTTGAAAGTGGCACTAAACTCAGGAGGTAAATCCTAAAAATGTATTCACGTACCGAAACTATTGAAAAAGAAATGTAGGTTACTTGTGCATCACCTAGTTGTAGATCCTGAAATCATCTCTAAATTGGTACTGACACTGTCCTTCCTTCTGGAGGGGGCTACTTTTGTTCCCCATGGTCGCAGTGTGTTCTGTAAAATAGCCACCGCTCCAAGCTCACTCCCATGATGGACTACAATCTCAATACAAATTAGTAAAGATTATAAGATTGTAAGCCCTCAGGGGCAGGGCCCTTCTTACCATCTTGTCTTGAATTGTATTGTGATTGTAATGTCTTCCATATATTGTAAAGCGCTGCACAAACTGTTGGCGCTATATAAATCCTGTATGATAATAATGATAAAGTAAACGTGAAATTGTAGTCCATCACGGGAGTGAGCTTGGAGATGTGACTACTTTACAACACACACAGGGACCATGGGGAACAAAAGTAGCCCCCCTCCAGAAGGAAGGACAGTATCAGCACCAATTCAGAGATGATTTGAGTGTCTACAGCTGAGTGATGCACAAGTAAGCTGCATTTATGTTAATAGGGTACTTGCATGCATTTTTAAGATTTAACTCTTGGGTTTAGTGTTACTTTAAATTTTTGCATCACATAAACAGTAGCAAGATTGTCCAGATTTTTCAATTCTACAAGCCTAATGCCACTGGCCAATGTTTTGAACTACTAGAGGTCATACTGGTTCCCGCACTTTTTTTCTTTCCTCTAAACCCACCCCATACATTTAATTATCAATTATCGTGTCTTCCATTACCAATTTTTTCACAGAGTGATCACTACAATCCTTATTTTAATACTGAATTTACAGACACTTATCAAAAACACCATTTGGTCCAAATATCTATATACACAAAATAATGAAATGCATTTTTATATATAGATATTAATCAAATTAAAATATGCCTTTAGCTTCCTGTAGCCATCTGTAAAACAGGATTTAGGAAAGTTAGAGGTGTATGTTTTGTGCCAATCAAAGCTCTATTGCTTTGCAAAGTTCTGTCTCAACAAGCCAACGGAAAGATGAACACAAATAACCTAATTAGTCTGCTGCTGCTTCTTCACTATCCAACCACAGGCTTAGGAAGATGGTGAACCAGTCTGTATTTCTTTAACCCCAGCATGTAAAAACAGATCACATATCTTTATTTCAGATGCGTATCTAGCTGTGCATGTCGGGAGGTTAGCTCCATGGTCACTACTTAACATTTGAAAAAGTTTTTTGTCATCTTTCTGAAAAATCCAATAGGCAATTTTAAGTTATAAAGTATAATTTGTGCCTGCAAGAAACATACAAATGTTGGTCATTCGACAACCGCAGAAACACAGAGAGGGGAATTTATCAAAACTGGAGCAGACAAAATCTGGAGCAGCTGTGCATGACAACCAATCAACTTCTCTCTTTCATTTTCAAATCTTAACTGAACAAACAGAAGGTAAAAGATGATTGGTTGCCATGCACAGCTGCTCCAGTTTCTGTCTGTTCCAGTTTGGATAAATCCCCCCAAGAATGTTTGTGCTGTAAATCTAGGCATTCCATAGATAGCTGTAGATAACTGTAGAAACTTGAATCTATATTTACCCAATGGTAGGGAACAATAACTATATATATACGTTGATTACGTTGTGGTATAGAAAAATATAAATACTGGAAACCAAAAACACGTTTAAGACTCACCTCTTCAAACATATAATGTGAGCTAAGTTACTTTACTCACTCATCCATCACTACTTCCTTCCCTATCATCATCTTGTTGTATTGTACTACCTGTATTATTACCCCTTGCATTTGGTTTCCAAATATGAAATGCTAAATTGTGATTGGTTCTTAAAAAAATAAGTGAGAAATGTCAGTCTTGTCATTTGACTCTTAACTGCCTCTCTGTGACAGTAACATATTAAAACAATCAATCTGTAAAGCCTACAACCTGTTCTTTTATTGCTGATACCAATCAGAATAAAGCTTTCAGATGCAAGCTGTCATTTTGGCAGGTTTAAAATGTAATTGGTAGCTGGGAGAAAATAATGACAGTTTTCAATGTGAACACAAATCCATGAACCCCCTTGCCTGTAACAATGTTCACCTACTGCCATCTCCAGTAAAAATGTCCTGCATCTGTCTCTTCCTGATAAGAAACAAGTGAAATAGTACTCTATGACATCATCAAATCTCAGCCCAGTTTTATGTAACACCCTACTGTGGTCTCTCAGAGTGGTACCAGGTCAGATTTCTGTTGCTCATCTGGATTTCCTCTCAATCTGCTCCCTTGACTGCAAAATGCAAAAAAAAAACTACAACTCAAAGCCCTCGCTCTAACCTACAAAGCTCCTGCCAACACTGCTCCTTCATACATCTCCATACTGATTTTCAGTGATTCTCTCAAGCACAACTCACTTTCTGCAAATTACCCGTTCTCCACTCGAATTGCCTCTTCAGACCTTCAAGACCCCTTGTGTGCCTCCTCTCTTAAATGTCCTCTTTCCTGCCCTTTGGCACTCTCAACCCTTCAAATGCACTTAAACTCGCTTCTTCCAACAAGCGTTTAACCTGGCCTAACTGCTCCTCCATTTCACAAGACTCCTTCGGTGGTTGGATATTTTATAGTTTACTCATTCACTTAAATGTTGCCTCTACCCTCATAATTCTCTAATCTGTGAGCTTCAAATGCCAGAACATCAGTTCTAAACTACTCTTTTTTAACATGTTTTGCTCATGTTATATATAGGACACTATCTGCACTGTTTTAACTGTACCACGTTTTAGTTTGTGAGTGCCACTGGAGGAATACATGGAGGTTGATTTACTATAGGCAAAAATACTGCTCACGTTGCAATGGAATTTTCCCTCAGCTTAGTGAATGTGGTGAAAATGTATTTTGAAAAGAAAACCCAATCACATTCAAGGAAATTAAAAAAAAACAACAATATTTTGCTTGCACGCGATTGGCTGATGGAAGTCAGCCAGACCACATTCAGTAAGCTAAGAGAAAATTCCCTTGCAAAGTAAACAGCCTATTTGCATTTAATAAATCAACCCCACAGTCTGCATCAGTGCAATAGTAATATTATGGTTTGTTCATGTCCAATGTTCAGGTAGCCACACTATTGCATGTATGTAGCTCCTGGAAAGAAGGGGGATTGCTAATATCAAACATCACACAATCTCTGGATAAAGGTCCTAATGTTTCCCAAACTTTTTTTATTTTGTACACATGCAAGCTGCAAAAAGACCAATGCTATCTGGTCAGCAGTAAGTGCTTAAATCTCTACACACCGAGTATGGTTTTGACAGCATGGACATGCATATTGTGCATCCATTTGCTATATTGACAATATATGTACCACCAATCTTGACTCGCATAACGCCAAGAAAAAGTTACTCAACGTCACGATGGTAATAGTTCAGATTAGCTGGGAAACAAAAAGTACTTAACATTTTCTGTGAACTCTTACCTGTTATGAGGAAACTACATCGTCCTGATCCAGCTTCATTAATTATACTACAGTTGTATGTGCCGTAATGCTCCTTGGCATGGATAGTGATAGTCAGTTCTGTGTAATCTTGAGAATCAAACTGTCCCTTCTCTAGCAGCTTGTTCCCCAGTCTCCATTCATACATAAGAACTTTGTTTGGATATGCCCGTAAGACTCTGCAGTTCATGGTGACACTGGAACTAAGGCCTTTCCTTATTTCCTGAAAGGCGGGCTCTACAGCAGGTGGGTCTGTAAAAAAAAAAAAAGAAAAAAAGGTGAAAGGTCTTTTTGTGAAGTAATATAACTCTGAAGAATCAGTAAAACCTTTGACACTACAAAGAACTTTTGCGATCCCAGTCTGGGCCATTTTAACCAGTCTTCAGGAAGGGCATACTGCTAAGCAAGCAAGCAGCCAACAGAGCCTATAGCTAATAGGAGCTGAAACACAGCAGTGACAAGAGACCCTTTGTTTCAAAGATGGAAGTCTTTTTCTAAATCTCTAGATCAATTTAAAAGTAGGTAATGTAGCAACCATAAGATAACGTAAGGCATTAGACACAAAGTACAGAACCCATGGCAACCAGTCAAAACTCATCATGTTACTGTATTCGATTCAGTAATGTGAATTGTAATCAGTTCTGTTTTACTACACTCCACACTTATGCTCATCTTCTTGCATTGTTTACTGAACCAATGTATGACATTTTTCATATTGCTTGAACATTAGTTCCTAACTTAAATAAATACAAAATGTAACAATTCTCTCTCTCTCTCTCTCTCTCTCTCTCTCTCTCTCTCTCTCTCTC